TATATATACACATATATATATATATATATATATATATATATATATATATATATATACATATATAATTATATATATATTTATTAAAAAAATAAAAAAATATATTTTATTTAAAAATGTTATAGTTTATTTAACTATTAATTTTGTTGCTACATTTTTGCTTTTAGCTTTTCAAAGTCTGCTCTTATTTTCTTCACTTGCTACACATGAAGTCAGCCCAAATACCAAAACAAAATGATCGATTTTACAACTCACAACCTACTTTACATCCCATTTCCCATGGTTTTACCTCACCTGCATCTATCACATACATGTCAACCACACTGAATTTGGGAATGCAATATATTTTCACAGTGTAAGCTGCTGCATTTCATGTGTATATAAGTCAAAACAACATTAAAATTACTGTATATGTAGCAGATTGAATAGTCTGCCATCACTCTTACCCAGCGTATCCTCCAATGAATTTACCGCAATCTTGTTCACCTTCAGTGTCACCTGATCTCCTCTGTGACAGAGAGAGCGCACCAATTAAACCATATGTCATTATTTAAACATCATAAATATATATTATGTTATAGAAACGACATATTTGGACGTACACTTTGAGCTTCCTCACAGCATTGAGTCTCAGTAGTGCTGCTAGAACGTTCTTCTGCAGGTCTGAGGATAAAACCTCAAAGCACGTCAGACGACCTGATGAAATTAATAGACACACACACACACACACACACACACACACACACACACACACACACACACACACACACACACACACACACACACACACACACACACACACACACAGAATGTAACTTAAAGTCACCTTTTTGTGCGTCTTAAGCCCTATTCAGATGGTTGGTTATTGTTTTTAAGTAGTATGCAAGGGATTTTCACCACTTACAGGGGGTAGATGGGGATTTTATAGCTGTCCGAATCCAGAACGTTGGACTTTTTTCTCTAACAACCCATGTAAATATTACTGGCCAAATTAGCTACTTTTTTGGACAAACATTGAGGTTGTGTGGTGATTTAAATGCTGTCTGAATCCACATCTCTGAATTTATGAAGATGATCGATAAAAAAGTCAATTTGTAAATACTTTCCGGCTACTGAAACGCATCGTCACACAGCTGCACTTGAGGCTGATTTGCATTAGAAAAGCAGCCTCTCATATATTCAAAATGTACACTTACTTTATGTAAGAGCTAGAAATGTAGTGTCTGTGTATTCTGTTCATCACTGATTATCTTTCACCTAAACTCTGAAAAAACACTCTGTAAGATTAAATCGAGTCTAAAAGATACACATGAAATACAAATGCATAAATTTGGAATCCAAATTCTCTAAAGATTGCTAGAGACCAAATCACACCGAATGAGGTTTTCCATTTTGAGAATGCAAAAAGCAACGCGCTGTTGTTTATAGTTGACAAAAAAAAAGTGTGCTGCGCTTTTTATGTCGCTAGGCAACCACTGAATCAGCTGTGTATTGTGCACCAGTGTTGCTGTTGATATTGTTATAATTGTATTATTTAATAATATTGTCATATTCACAAATTGTGAAGTCATACAGAAACAAATAACTCAAAACAGCGACCACTAGACTCTCCTTCATCTATAATTATCGTCAATTTTCCGGAAAGGTCTGTATTTGTGAACAGGCCCTTTTTGAAAATACCGGTAAATTCGTTTTGGCTATTTTCCGGAATAAGAAGTTGTAACATTACTGGTAAGTTGCCAGAGTGCTGTGCTGTGTGAACGCAGAAGGAAGATTGCCGGAAAGCGCGCGTGCACGTCTAGAACGTGCTAACATGAGACGTCTACTTTAGCCAATCAGAACAGTGAGACGCATTCACATCCGCGAGGTTTATGAAAATGAAAACCTTTGAATATTTTTCCAGACACATTTAGCTGCTAGATGTTAGTCAGATCACGTTTCTATGTTCCTTCTTAATGCCAGCTGTGTAAATAATTATCGATAAGGTGCTTATGATAAGCCGTTGTTTGTTTACCTTTAAGATCTGCTTCCTTCAGTTGCTTGACCTGTCATGTGTGCCCGTGAAGTAGCCCGTGAGTAGCCCATGACACACACACGTATCATGTACATCTCGACATGCGAAAGAGTTTCGTTATACGTTTTCATCGAAGTTGTTCACAATACTGATCCATCCACAGAGTTTGTAATGTAGTCAAATATTTACAATAAAAAGTCTCAAATAAAAAATGTAAAAAAATATAAATTTATGGCTTTAAAAAGTCTTAAATTTGCTGGTCTAGGTCTTAAATATTTTTGCACAGGTCTTATTTTTGCGATGTCCATGTAACGCTACATCTAATGCTCATTTAAATTCTTTTTGCTGTTGTTGCTAGGTTTTTGGGGTGTTGTAGTTCTTTATTTCACTAGTCTAATTGTAATTTGTGGTATTACAAATACAAAAAAGGTCAACTTGCAATAGCCAATCAGCTTTCTGATATTAAACTCCATGCACACAGCGAATGTAACATCATCGATGTGTTTGCGGAAGTTCACTTTGAGTGCGCGCGACATGATTTCGGCTGGCAGAGTATGCCGTTATTTCACTGACAAATGTCCCAAGCGCAGTTTTATAAGTCGGGAGCGCTGTAATACGAGAGAGCGAATCTCTGCTCACGCGCCTGTTTCCTTTGTTCATGGACAAAACTGCTTGCGAGCTCTCAAAATACTGGCTGCTCATGTGCGAATGATCTGCTCTCGCTCCGGACTCCTTTCGTGCTTCAGATGCTTCAGCATACTGTAGTATTAAGAATAGTGAACTGATAAAATGAAATAATGTAGTTTTACTACAGTAAAGTGTGTTGAATTGTAGAAAAATATACCCTATATTGTAAAAAAACTAAAGCACTGGGTAGTTTGTTTATAATACACTTGTTGTGTTACCATAGCAACTATAGTATTACCACAACAGAGTAATTGAAGTACTTTACTCTACTTTACAAAACACTGTACAGCAGACACTAGTTCACTTTATTTTAGTGATAACATGGGATTGATAGTGGGATTTATTTGAAGAGTGAATGGTACAGTAGGTTATAATACCTAATCAACTTTTTACCTATTTTCTATCACAGTTACATTTCTGCTTGGAAAAACCTGAGTGATAAGTTTGTTAAAACAACAAAAAAGAGGCCCCCAAAAACATCTTCAATGATAATGATTATCTTTTTATTCGTCTGATTTGACTTTGTTTTTTTTGGACCGCCCCCTGTCATTTAAAAAAAATATCTCAATGGTGAACGTGCCAAGTATAAAAGCCTTAATCCGTTTCGTGAGTTGTGCGATGCGGTGCCAGGTGACAGTATAAATCTGCATTAAGATGTTTGTTTTTTCTGTAGTTTAATGGTGCATTTAACCTGACTTTAGTACTGTTCAATTTAAATAACTTTATTTTACCCCTAATTTTGTGCTTTTACATTTTCTTTCGCGTGTTTTTGATATTGCAATATAGATCTTAAACTTAATACTTAATGGTCTAAAAAAGGTCGTAAAAGGTCTTAAATTTGACATTATGATATCTGCAGAGACCCTGGTTAATGATGTCTGAATTTACCGCTATTTTGGAATGGACGTGTGAACGGTCTTTTCCAGAAAAATTCTGTAACGTCCATGCCTGTGTGAACAGCGCCTTTTTGAATTTAGCGGTAAAGTCATTGCGGAAATTTTCCGGATATTTACCGGTATCACTGTGTAAAGGGGCTAATGAGATTACTACATCAGTTTTTTTTTTTTCAGAGTGGACTTTTCACAGTTAAACCGTTGTGAACCAGTGTTACCTCCTAATATGAGTTTCAGTGCGAAGTCTCTCACGCCGGGAATAAACTCCTTCTCTGTCAGGTTTTCATTAGTCTCCTCGCATAGATAGCGGCAAACCACCTACACAAACAACACAAAATCAGTATGACCTTCAATAGTCGTGTCCTGGAAGAAAACAGATATAAAAAAACAAGCCTATTATACAGAAATGACTAGTTAAGTATTTCTATAGACAAGAGATATTTAATATGCAGCCTATGAGACAAATCCGGCATTTGGGTAACTCCACCAACCTCTTTTTTCGGAGTTTTTTTTCTCTCTATAAGGAAAAACGAATAAAACCATACCAGAAGCTGAACAAATCAGAGCCTGTATTCACAAAACATAATGGGCCCTATCATACACCCGGCGCAATGTGGTGCAAGGCGCGGCGCAATACTTGTTTGCTAGTTTCAGCTTGCCGCAAGAGCTCTTGTTCTCTCCAAACTGGACTACTGCAACTCTCTACTAGCGGGGCTTCCAGCTAACTCTATCAAGCCTCTTCAGCTGCTCCAGAACGCAGCAGCACGAGTGGTCTTTAATGAACCTAAAAGAGCACATGTCACTCCGCTGCTCATCCGTTTGCACTGGCTGCCAGTTGCTGCTCGCATCAAATTCAAAGCTCTGATGTTTGCCTACAAAGCGATTTCTGGCTGCGCCCCTTCTTATCTGCTCTCACTTCTGCAGATCTATGTGCCCTCCAGAAACTTACGTTCTGTAAACGAACGTCGCTTCGTGGTTCCATCCCAAAGAGGGAAGAAATCACTTTCCCGAACTCTCGCATTCAATCTGCCCAGTTGGTGGAATGAACTCCCTAACTGCATCAGAACAGCAGAGTCACTCGCTGTCTTCAAGAAACGACTAAAAACTCAACTATTTAGTCTCCAGTTCCCTTCCTAATCTGCAATTGAAAAAATATTTACTAATACTTTCCTTCTTAGACTTTACAGACCTGAAACTTGCCTACAGCACTTATTCATTGTTGCTCTTATAGTTGTGTAAATTGCTTCCTTGTCCTCATTTGTAAGTCGATTTGGATAAAAGCGTCTGCTAAATGACTAAATGTAAATAAAGGGACTAAGCCGAAGGAAAATGAATGAATGAATGACCTTATTTCTAATCTGTCAAAAGTCACACCCATCCCATCTGCATGTCCTGACCAATGAGGCTGTGTAAAATATTTTACACTATGAATGTTCCATTTTGATGTCGCATGTTAATGCATCACCTGGTATCCTTGAAGGAAGGGGTCCAGGACGGTGCACAGGAAAGCGAGGGTGCTGTGACCGTCCGCTGACATCACAATTTCATGCTCTAATACCTGCAACACTCCACGCTTCATCAGCAAATAACAGGCTTCTTCAAAGTCCTATAAAAACACACATACATGCATTAATATCAGAGAAGTAGCACATGCAGGACTTTTTTTACACAAAGCAGAATTATTACTCATAACTTCATTACTTTAGTTACTTTCTGTTACAACCCTCAAAACCAGATAAATTTGGTTAAAAGGGGAACCTATTATGCTAAAATCACTTTTATAAGGGCTAGGAACTTTAATGCAATCCTCCTATAACCAACAGCTGGTCTGGCATTTTGGAGCACTTTGGTTTCCCTTAGGGATGCACGATATATCGGCGGCCATATCGTTATCATTTATCGGCCGATAAATGCTTTTTTAAGATTATCGTTATCGATCCGATGTGTAAATTAGGCCGATATCTTTAAGCCTATAAAATACGTAATTGTATAGACCTGCCTGCCGCGCACGCGAGGGCGGAACATGTTCAGACTTGCCCAGTGCACCATAATGGAGCTATCCTCACACTGTGGCTGTTTCTCAATTCCAAGAACGCAGAGAACGTACTTGTGTTCTTGTGGAGAGCGGTCTTGCCAGGTGTCCTCGGAAGAACGAACTCGGGAGACCGCGAGGGAAGAGAACGCGTCCTTTGGGAAATGGGATGCTGCGTTCTTCCTGATGGTCATGTGACCTTCATGCGTTTTAAATGGAAATTATTTAAACATTACAGCCTTCATACAGCGATTTTTTGTTTTTCCCCTTTTCAAAATATATACTTTGCATAAAAACATTATAAATATACTCTGCACAATATAAATACAACACATTTTAATACGAATTTCAGCAAACAAACAACCCTTAATGTGTTTATGCCTTTATTAAGATGTTCATGGTAATGTTTACTTTCACCGTTTCATTTAGAGAAACTCTAAAACTCATCACTTCAGAAGTGATGTCTCTGAAGTTTAATAACAAATCTAAATAAAATGCTGCGCTTCCCACATCCAGTCGCAATGACTTCTGGGACTTCCAGAGCGAGTTCGGTGCTCAAGTCTGCATCGGTGCGTCCTCGATATCAAGAACACATCCGGGAAGTTTCACGCGTCCTCCATACTTGCGGTCTTGAGTATTGGAACTGAACTTAGGCAGCTGATGATGACGTTACACGAGAACACGAGGACGCAAGACCGCTGAAGAACGCATATTGAGAAACAGCCTGTTTATTCCTTCAAACTCACTTGTACTTGTACTTGTACTCACTTTCACTTGTACGGTTGCTCAAAACGGTCAAAACACCTCTGAAAAAGGCTTTTTCGGACATTACATATTTGTAATTGAAAAACATTTGAGCTAGTTTTAGTCCTTAGCTCATTTTCATCTTATTCAAAACATATTTAACTTGCTTGTTGATTACAACCTTTTATTTTTATGCAACAGTCAAGTTGCATGTTAGTTTGTTATGAAGAAAAGGAAATAGTTTATTTTTTGCATGCTGATTTAGGTGAAATCGTGAATATAGGTCTATATAATCCCCTTGCAATTTTGAAATGATTCAGTTCTATTCAGTTCAAAAGAGCAGTTCAATCTTTTATGAAGTTTGCTGTAAAAATATATCATTTTGAAATATTTATAATTATCGGCCTATACATATCGGCTATCGGCCTCCAAGTCTGAAGAATTATCGGTTATCGGTATCAGCCAAAAAATCCCTATCGGTGCATCCCTAGATTCCCTATAAGTTATAAGGGTTATGGCATTTTAAAGTGCGGTTTATAGTGAAATTGGTTAACCGTTGAGTTATTTTAGTATCTCATCGCCACATTCGGTTTCAACCATTAGCATTGGCGACATTTTCATTTACAGTTTATTTACTAAATACTGACTGTAAGAAACTAATTCTTAAAAAACATTGTTCATTTACTGAATAAAGTCGCAAATCCAGCAGGTGGCGCCTATAGAACTGCAGAAATAACATTGTTGCCTTGGTTAACGCAGTAAACAGCAGCATGATGTCAAATCTAGCAGGATTTATCCATTTCGTAAACTACACAGCATCCCAATATTCACTAATTAAATTTATGAACTGTACAATCAAAAATTATTTAAAAATTAATACCTTGTAAAATAGGATTTGAGACTTTTTAATACTTTTAAAGGGCCTAAAATTGTTAGCTTCTACACCTTTTAAGACCCTGGGGGCACCCTTTATGAGGAACAATCATAGACTGTAAAATATATGGACCTAGTATCCGTGACGTCACCCATAGGTTTCTAAAGAGCACAAAAGAAGCCACAAGTAGGCGCGGCCAACCGTCGCCATTTTGTTCGCGCGTCATCACACCCACGGCGGAATACCAAACAAGGGCAAAGAGGCGGAGAGTGAGCGGAGCTACAGACACCTGCTGGCATTTAGCTTGGACCTGGTTAAAACACACTTTACTTTGGGAGAACGCTTAATACTTCATTACCTGTGACTCGTTTGTGTTCTGACCACATGTGCTTGGTTGTATACTTTATCATTAAAGTGTTTAGACTTTTAAAAACACTGCTGTAATACATTGAGCCACTAAACATTGTTCTTATGACATTTTTCAACAGGAGGAAAACGCAAATTACTTCCAAACACTTCAGATATAGTCTGTGTTAGTTAATGTAAGACTATTGATGAAATCCAGCATAACACTGTATGACAACGCTTCAGATGACTGTTCTAGAGCCTACAGCTAATCAATTCGTCAGATTCTGGAGTGCATTACAGCTCTAAATATAAATATAAATGATAAATGATCTTAAATAAAACAAATAAATGTATAGAGATGGTTTATGAGTATATAACTTTACTCACATGGGAAACGGAGGCCACGTGAATGGTTTGTGAGCACAATTAAGTGCACCTAGCATGCCATGCCATCTAATAATTGTAGGAAACAAGTCCAAAAGTAGTTTAGCTCTGCACAGAACAACACAGAAATACGATAAATTTGCCGAGTTCAGTGGCTAATCTGCAGGATTCAGCTGAGGTGACGTGACGGCGACCAACGAGACCTAGCTGTCACTCAAGTGGCCACGCCCTTAATTATGCAAACTTAATATAGCCTAATATAAAGGAAACGGATGAGTTATAAAAAAATTCACCCCCTCACAGTTGTCATGAAGGGTAATATTAGCTGTATGAACCAAAATCTTTGTTTGTACCAGGCTGTAAACACCTTTTTTTCTGCTGTAAAGTTGGCCATTCTAACAGTGGGCTCAATTGAAATTTGCTCTGTTTTGGAGCCAGGAGCGGCCACGACTAGCGGAATTTCGGATGATTTGCAGTTTTAGTTACTTCCGTATTGGCTTCCTGAGGGAGAGCGGGAGGTTGCCACTTGGGAACAACTGAATATTATTAGGGAAATCTTTGTAAGCAATATTATTACAGCACAGCGGTCAAACACTGGTATCAACTGAAAAAGTTGCAATCTCAAAACTTAACCTGCACCGAGTCCCCAGGACACAGGATAAATTCATTGGAGAACATGTTCCTCAGGAAGCTGAAACAGTTGTAGATGTCATCTGGAACAAACAACACCATGATTGTAAACCATCAGTTCAACAAGTGCAAACCTTTAAGAAAAACATCCCTTTGGTACCTTTTCTACTGGAGTTTGCGCTCTGCATGGCCACGGCTAATAGAGCAGGTCTCAAAAACACGTGGAGGATCTGGTTCCTGTAGGAGGCGCAGGAGAGCACGACGACCGCTCTGTGAAACACGGCTTCTTCTGCGCTCATCTGGACCTGCGGCGAGTCTGTGGCGCTCAGCTGAACGTGGCCTGCGGAAATACTCAACAGGTGTCTGTGCAGAGCTAAACTACTGCGGATGACTTCCGTGCAGGACTCGTGATCTGCAGAAAGAAAGAGTGAGAGGGAGAAACATAATTATGATGAAAAAATACGCTATCAATGTACCAATGTTATTCACACAAACGGCAAATGATTTATCATTATAGTGATTTAAAGTAAACATATGCGCTTAAAATATCGCTGCAATGTGGCAATGGACTGCACGGTGGCGCAGTGGGTAGCACGTTCGCCTCACAGCAAAAAGGTCGCTGGTTTGAGCCTTAGCTAGGTCAGTTGGCGTTTCTGTGTGGAGTTTGCATGTTCTCCCAGTATTCGTGTGGGTTTCCTCCAGGTGCTCCAGTTTTAGTCCAAAGACATGTGGTATAGGTAAATTGGGAAGGCAAAATTGTCCATAGTGTATGAGTGTGAATGAGTGTATATGGATGTTTCCCAGTGATGGGTTGCAGCTGGAAGGGCAACCGCTGCGTAAAACATATGCTAGATAAGTTGGCGGTTCATTCCGCTGTGGCGACCCCTGATTGATAAAGGGGCTGAAATGAAAATGAATGAACGAACATAAAAAATTCTAAGCTCCTAAAGAACAGCGAACATGTACAACATTTTCAACACAAATCAGATAGAAGATGAGACACAATTTCTTTTTTTCTGCCCCAAACACAAAACTATTAATAGTATAGTTATATAATATATAAATATAATATATTAATATTAATAGTATACTAGAGATATTTTTCCCCAAATTTAATTATTCAATAATTTATTCTTTAATTTAATTGACCCTTTGCTAAGCCCCGCCCTACTTAGTTACTGTTGCTACGCCTGTCAAGCTTTCGTGCCTGCAAGGTCTATTACAATGTGTATGCGCTGGTGTCAGACATTGCCAGGGATATAATTCACCATTTTTGGCGTACAGGTGAAATATCCGAGAAAGCCAGAGAAAAAGGACTGCAGAATGTTTCTCCATAAGTAGTGTATGGTTGTGACAGTGATCTCCTACCAGGCCAGTCCAGGAAGGCTCCAAACGCCAGTGCGAGGTGTCTGAGCCAGTCTGTCTGTTCTGTGAGGGAGGACAGATCCAGGCCGTCGGGGTTGTGGAGCAGCAGTGTGGCAATGAGAACCCAGGGCTTCAAAACCATGTTCTCCTCCTGCATTCGCACCAGACGAAACCCAGCGTCAGTTAGAAACTCATGAGTGTCGGTGCTGGGCTTCTGAGGAATATGCCTGAAAAAAAAAAAAAAAAAAAAAAACACAAAACACTTAGGGCCTACTCACACTATGCCATCCGTACCGTGCCCAGGCCCGTTTCCCGGATAGTTTAAGAAGTGTGAGTGCGCTGAATCGGGCTCAAGCACGGTTCACTTGGCCGGCCCTGGCCCGGTTGGAAGAGGTGGGCCTGAGCGCGGTTCACTTGGGCTTTGTGGTACGCCTGTGTGTGAGTGCAAAACACGCCAAAGCCTGAAACTGAAAGTGAGACGTGACTTTAAAGGGGTTGTTTCATATGGATTTATTAATCATTCTTACTGTTCAGTGAACGCAAACTGCTGTAGTTTATTAAAGACGCAAACCCCTCACTGCACGACAGCTGCACCTTCAGCAAACCTCCTCATTCCTGCAGCACGAGAGCTTTATGATTGTTTATGAGCGTCAAAAGTGGCGGATCTGTTCGACGAAATATCTGACTGCGTGTGCCCGGATCCCTAAGGACTGTTTGGCGAAATATTTGACGACATATCAAATGACTGAAACGATACAACTAGAGAAATCTCCACTGTGCTGCTGAGTGAGAGAGCGCTTCTCACTGAACAGCGCAGCAGCGATGACGTAAGCGTGCCGAAGCCCATTTGTGGTGTGAGCGCGGGCCATCGGGGGAGACGGGAGGGGGGACAAGCGTGCTTTGGGCAGGTTCGAGGCAACCGTACCTAGTGTGAGTACGGCCTTAGTCATGTGTGATATTCAACATCAATGTTATATAGAAAGCAGAACAAAGTGATTCAGCTTGAAGGCACTGTGATTGAAAATTTACTCACTCAAAATATTACAAGTTTTTTTTTCAGACACATTAGACATTCTGACTGATCCAGATCCTATATTTATTATATTTGAAGTTTCTGAAGAAGTGTTGAAACGCACATAGGTTCAACAACAGTTTTTCTGCCAAAAGCTTATCCTTTTATTTTGTAAAAAAAAAAAAAAAAAAAAGAAGTTCCAACTCTTAAACTATGGCTGACAGAGTTAACGGGTACATTACATCTGGAAAAAAATCAGGCATGCCCTTATAGACAAAATTTTGGAAAACGTGGTCTCCTTTTATTTCCTTTCTGGAAGATAATGTTTACTGAGCCCACACGATAAATAGGATTGAGGCAAATTCTGCATGTTTATGACAAACGTGTCGTGTATTCCACATCATTTGTGCTGTGCGCAAATAATTTGGCTCTATTCATGCATTCACATTGACATTTAATCTACTCGCGCAAAATACTTAATTTCGAACCCAGCACAAGTGAGGGGACTCACTCAAGCATCGTTTACATTTTAAAAGTTTTTCTGCTGCAAAATTAATTCCCTGTGTGAATGATGAAGGCCTTTACGGCAGAACGTGGCTGAATGCAGTGTCATACCTGGGCAGCAGGTTGTATTGAGATCGGTTTATTTTCCGTTCTGCCAAACTGCGCACAGATACTGGCTGACCAAAGTACACGTGCATGCTGCCATAGTCCTCACTCAACACCCGCCGGGCCTTCAGCAGACCCTGACACAAACAAAAACACAACATTTCTTTATATCATACAATGTCCTCGAAAAAAAAAAAGATAAAAAAAACAACCATGAAGGAATCACATAAACTGTATTAATATTTAGATTAGATTAGATTAAACTTTGTCATTACACATGTACAAGTACAATGCAACGAAATGCAGTTTAGGTCTAACATTTATGCTGAAAACATAAATATAAATTTGTCCATTTGTTATCTTTAGTCTTTAGTAGGCAGCAGTGATGAGAGTGAAATATTAGTTTAATAATAACAGTTTTAACTAAAATGCCTTTCATTTATATTTTAATAAATAAGCATATAATATATGCATAAAATATATTATACAATACTTAATTTAGTATTAAAAAATAAATCATTAACAAAGTATGAAAGAACAATTATTAAGCACATTATAAATGTGGTTGTAAGTCAAGAATAGAGCATTTGTAGCTGCAGTTATAAACTGCTTACTGACATTTATTAATGTAGAGTTAATGTCGTAAACAGATGAATTCACTATATGCTTATGCTTAATAAATGGTCCATAGTGTGTAGTTATAAAGTGTTACCAATTTCTATGTTAATAAATGCTTTATTAACTCAACTTCATCCAGTTTTGTGACCTAATCTAAAGTGAGGACTATTTATGCTTTATAAATCCCTTATAAATGACAATTAAAGGCTCAGTTCAATAATTCTAAACTGGACAAAAAAATTAAAAATAAAAACATAAATGACTTTATTTCTATTCATTCGAAGATACACAAATGAAACTGTATAAAAAGACAAATAAATCTTAGCAATCTTAACTAAAATAAAATGACTGTACAGTTTAAACATCGCTAAATAACATTGAAACGTTGCATCATATTATATTGTTTAATTATTTTATTTTTTATTTTTTATCCAAATTTTACAGTGATTTTACCTTTTAGATAGGATTGCAAAGATTATTGTTCATTTCATACTAAGCCTTTAATTATCACTTATAAGGGATTATAAAACATGAATAGTCCTCACTTTAAATTAGGTCACAAAACTGGATGAAGTTGAGTTAATAAAGCATTTATTATCATACAAAGTAACCATTACTATACGCCTGAATAATAAGAACTATAAATGTTAATTTGACTAGTTTGTTAATCATTTACTAACTCATTCTGAATGATCTTAAAAAACACCAAATATTCTTAGATACAAATAGTTAGTAAATAATGCAATACTTAAATTAGTCATGAAAAATAAATCATTAACAAAGTATGATAGAACAATTATTAAGCACATTTTAAATGTGGTTATAAGTCAAGAATAGAGCATTTGTAGCTGCAGTTTATAAGAGTTAATGCTTAACAGATAATGAATTCACTATTTGCTAATGCTTAATAACTAGTTTATAGTGTATAGTTATTATAAAGTGTTACCAATTTCTATGTTAATAAATGTTTTTATAACTCAACTTCATCCAGTTTTGTGACCTAATCTAAAGTGAGGACTATTTATGCTTTATAAATCCCTTATAAATGACAATTAAAGGCTCAGTTCAATAATTCTAAACTGGACAAAAAAATATAAAAACATAAATGACTTTATTTCTATTAATTTGAAGATACAAAAATGAAACTGCATCAAATGAAAAATAAATCTTTTCAATCTTAACTAAAATAAAATGACTGTACAGTTTAAACATCGCTAAATAACATTACAATGTTGCATCATATTATGTTGTTCAATTATTACATTTTTGTTTATCAAATTTTTACAGTAATTTTATTTTATTATATTATATAGGAATGCAAAGATTATTATTCATTTCATACTTAAGCCTTTAATCAAATCAAATCACTTTTATTGTCACATCATCAGCAGCACGTGTGCTATGATGAGTGAAAAGCTTAGGTGCTGGCTCCAGACAGTACAAAATACAGACAGTGCAAATACAACAACAGTTAGTATTTTATATTTGTTGTTAAGATGCATAGGGAGGTTTTTTGTTTGTTTAAGATTTAGTTTGTATGTTTTTAAAGAGGCTAAGGGTTTCTTTCAAATCAAATCAAATTGTCATTTATAAGCGATTAATGAAGCATAAATAGTCCTCACTTTAGATTAGGTCACAAAACTGGATGAAGTTGAGTTAATAAAGCATTAACTAACATACAATATAACCATTACTATATGCTAAATAATAAGATATATAAACATTAATTTTAATACTCTTAAATACAAATGGTTTGTAAATAATTTAACATTTATTTTGGTTATGAAAAATCAATCACTCACAAATTATGAAAACACAATTATTAAACACGTTATACATCAGCTTATAAGACAATAGAGCATTTGTAGCTGCTGTTATAAACTGCTTACTAACGTTTATTATGGAGAGTTAATGTCTAACAGATAATGAATTCTTAAATTAATGCTTAAAAAATATTCATAGTGTGTAGTAATTATAAAGTATTATCAAACTAATATTGTGTATGACTCATGAGCTTGGAGGACTGCATCCATTCATCTCTGCAACGACTCAAATTACTGATTAATAAAGTCATCTGGAATGGCAAAGAAAGCGTTCCTGCAGGACTCCCAGAGTTCATCAAGATTCTTTGGATTCATCTTCAACGCCTCCTCCTTCATCTTACCCCAGACTTGCTCAATATTGTTCATGTCTGGTGACTGGGCTGGCCAATCCTGGAGCACCTTGACCTTCTTTCTTTCAGGAACTTTTGCTGTGGAGGCTGAAGTATGAGAAGGAGCGCTATCCTGCTAGATAATTTGCCCTCTCCTGTGGTTTGTAATATAATGGGCAGCACAAATGTCTTGAAACCTCAGGCTGTTCCCACTCTGCAGATCACCTCTACACTGAATGTAACTCCAAACCATGATTTTTTTCCTTCACCGAACTTGACTGATTTCTATGTGAATCTTGGTCCATGCAGGTTCCAATAGGTCTTCTGCAGTATTTGTGATGATCGGAATGCAGTTCAACAGATGATTCACCTGAAAAGTCTACCTGACACGTTTGAAAATGAACAACTAGAAGTCAAGTTATTACTCGATGCTCTTACAACTGGGACCAACGACAAGACTTTTGTCAGGTAGTGTAGATATGTAGCCTTAGGGAGTGATTTCCCAAAACAATAAAATAAACGCTTATCGTGTATGTCATTCTCTTTTGTTTATTTGCTGCTAGTTTAATCAAGTTTAATTTGAATATTTTGCTAGTAACACACAAAAATAGTGAAATATGCAGGAAAATGCCAAACATACAGAGGTTGACTCTTTGGGTTTGGGGACGCCGAGCAGCTCACGGGCGTACAGAGACTCCTCCAGGATCCTCTCGTAGCTGATGCTGACAGGAACCAGATTGACGTCAAACAGCTCCCCTTTAAAAAACGGCTCCATCACAATATTCAGCAGCCCTGAGGGAGAGCAGAAAGAAAGCGAGAGGGAGATGAAGCGGACACAAAACGCCGTTTCTCTCATTCATCTAAATTTGCTTTTTTGTTGTGTGTGATTGATGATCCGCCGACGTCAGGCTTTGCAGGCTTCCAGCTGTCGTTTTCAACCTGTGCGCCATAAATTAGTCCGAGCCTCTTTATATCATTCCGGGACTGTGATCCAATTGCGGAAATCCTGTGGAATTTCATTTAGCTGCCATCTCGCTTCCTGTGCGTAGGCACTGTGGACCCCGAAACAATGTTGAACTGTCACCTTGAATTTATTTGTGCAGCAATATTAATTAAAAAAAAAAGGCAGAAAAGTGTGGGAAAAGCCTCGACGCTGCACATTAAATGCCGAAGTCCGCAGAGAGCATTTTATCACAATCAAACACACAATAAATATCACAGAAATGTGTGAAAGTGATAAACAAAAAATAAAAAATAAATAAAATAAATAAATAAATAAATAAAAAATAATAATCTTGACCTATTTGTCACCCACCATGTGATATTTTATTTTATTAATTACATAATTATTTAGGGGTCTCATTATGTTTTCCTTAGAGCGGCACAATTAATCGTTAAAAGATCGCAATCTCGATTCGACCCTCTAGGCAATCTTAATCCAGCATTTCTACGATTCTGCCAATCATATTTTCAAGTTCAGGAGAGAAGAAAAGGCGGCTGCACGAGTCTTTTTATTGTTTTACACATGTTGCTCAGTGACATTGACACCTCCAAATGATGTTGAATGAGTCACATATAAAGTATAATTCCAACCCAGGCTCATTGTGGAAACGTAGTCCCGCGGACGTTTCTGGAGACCGCGGAATACGTCCCGGCAGGTACGTACGGCAGCAGTTTTTGTTTTTGTGAATCCGTGGGAGGCCGCTATTGTGCGCTTTTCCGCGTCTCAGACGCCTCTCGCGAGTGCAGTTTGCGCCCGCGCTGTTCTCGCGTGAACCCACCAGAGTCCGCTGTCCGAATGATTGACTTCGCGACCGGCCAATCGGCCGACCCGCCCTCCTCCTTCCCTGAACCCAACCAATTTTACAGATTGACCCGCCCGCCCGCTCGCTTCCCTAAACCAGAGCAACAGTTTACAAAAGCCGTCCAAAAAAAGAAAAGCCCTGATTTTTTTTTCTACCGCGTTTTCGGATTTCACCGCGTTCTCACCCTGTTACGAAACTTGTTCACTTAATTTTTGGGATTCTGTTTTTGTCTTACCTGATTGCTGGAACCGCTCTTCCCCGGACTCGAAACCGATCGCCGTGGTCAACTCCTCTCTGCATCTCAAGCCTGCCGACGTACAAGGTGAGCTGAGTGGACAAACGGGTTGCAGCGGGAAAGCCCTCCACAAGGAGGTAAGCGGTCAGCTGGCCAGCCAGCAAGCGCGAAAGGGAACAGCGTCACACCGCGCCGCAGTGTTCGCTTGAAAAAATTAAATGCAGCCGTACGTACCTCCCGGGACGTATTCCGCTATCTCCAGAAACGTCCGCGGGACTACATTTTCAGAATGAGCTTGGGTTGTATAATTCACCAAAAATGTCATTTCTGTTTTAATATGATGTTTTCGCAATCGGGAAAATCACACGTGACGTGAGCTGCTGACCGTCAGCTGTTATCACAGAGAGGGCGGGCTCGTGCGCCTTACTTAGTGATAAATGCGCGCGCGTCTACTTTAGTGAACAGAACCTGCATATGTTGCGAGTAACAGGTAATACAGTTGTAAATAATATTTAGTTTGTCGCACAGAGTGATCGTTTGGGAGCCGCGTGCGAAGTATGAACTAGCACTTAGCCGTCAAAATGAAACCGAAAGTGTGCGCTTCATTTAAATGATCATATCGCATTTTAGAGTCATGATTACAACAAGCATTTGATATGTTTTTTCTTTCATAGCGAACCCACAGTTGTGCATGAAAATAAATGTTCACAATGTCAGTATAACTACTCCAGCCTACATATTGTTGAATATAATCTGATAATGGCAAATGCCTGATTTTACCAATGAATTAAATTGTCTTATATGACAGATTGCAAGCATATATCTCAAACATAATAATTCGACATCAGAATTGTTGTAAGAATAAATTAATATAGAATAGAATTATTTATAGAAACCAGTAGACCTACACATAATATTTTTATTATCGAGGTTGTGCCAAATGTTTGTTTTTACCTTTATTTTACATCTACAGAATCGTGAGAAAATCGTGATCTTTATTTTAAGCAAAAAAAAAAAAAAAAAATCGCGATTCTCATTTTAGCCAGAATCGTGCAGCTCTACCACAAAGACGTGACTTAGTAAAGTGTGAAGTCATGTTTGATTTTAATTGTTGCATTAGTCTGAATGTAAATCTCCTCGTCAGCCAGCGCTGGAGCAGTGGAGCAGTGTGAGAGAGTGGACCACAGCACATCAAACGAAACAAAAGAAACAATAGACAAAAGAAATTAAGAAACACTTAAATGCTTAAATGCTTGTATTTGTTGTATTTGTACCAGCTCTGTGATGCTCGTCCACAACTTCATGCACTGGGTTAAATTAGGTTATCCATGCTCTGTGTTTAGTCCATTACAATCATGGTGGAAACCCAGACAGGCAGTCAGTCAGTGTAACACAGAGAGTGGACCAAAGCGCATCAAATGATCGGTAATTAAAAGTGGAAAAAAGAAAAATAGAATAAATATCTATACTTTTGTATTAGACGCACACCTGATGCTTGTATTTGCAGCAGCTACATGTCCACAACTTCACGCACTGGGTTAAATTAGATTTAATAGTCTCCCTTACTTCCACTGTATCTGTACAGCTGAGGGAACGGAATCAACCCCGTGACGTCAGACACAGCAACATTCCAAGATGGCTGCGCCCTAGGTCTAAAATCTATAGTAAAACATGCTGTTTTCTGTTAAATGGTTACATTAATTAAGTTTGTTTATTATACTTACATTAAAGTGGAATCCAATGTACAAAATAAGGTAAATTTGACTGAGTGCTTCATTTCCCTTTTAAGTAGGCTATGTTTTAACTTAAGCGGCCCCAGGGTATTGGCTTGTCTGACTCATGCTAGCCGATGGGACATTCTTTCTTGATACATGCTAAAAACGATTAACTTTATGCCAATAACAATTAGCATCATGCTAATAATGATTACCTGAGTGCTATAACATTCTAGAAATGCTTACTAATTATTCAGATTTGATTAAAAATGAGGCTTGCCAATTAAACTAAACGCAGTTTAAGCTAGCAACCACCTGTTAACTACTGAAAACACCCTAGCAATCAACTAGCAACCCACCCTGCTTCATGCCAACTTTCTTTTTGATTCCTAGAATGGCAATGCATTAGCAACACCTTAGCAAGCCAACTGCCTTTGAATCCTAGTGCAGTCATGTTTAGCTTTCTCAAGGTAACAACAAAGTTCGTCAATGAGCTTTAGATTTTAGTATATTATTTTCTGACCTAAGATGAATCTTAGAAAACAGAATAATAACAATAATAGTGATGTAATTACCTGTCTTTGGTGTGAGCGATTTACACGTCCGGCTTCTTGTTCCTTCCAAGAAGAACTCAATTGGGGCATATCCATTCTGCATAATCAATACACAAAAGGATTTGGGATTGTTGAGCAATTTATACTGTTCTGACCACAAATTTGGGGTAATCAAGTATTTTTAATGGCTTTTTGAAATTCTTCTGAAAGATTTTAAGAGAAAAAAAACTTAATTATCATTATTATAATTATTATTATTTTCCCCAGTGACGGGTTGCAGCTGAAGGGCACCCGCTGCGTAAAACATATGCTGAACAAGTTGGCGGCTTATTGCGCTGTGGCAACCCCAGATTAATACAGAGACTAAGACGAAAAGAAAATGAATAAAAGAATCATTATTATTATTATTATTATAGCTATTATTATTATCAGTGTTGTTAAAATAATGATATACTCTCCCATTTATTACTATTATTATTATTATTGTTGTTATTATTATTATTATTATTATTATTAATAATAATATTAATTTATTAATTAATTAAAAGAAAGTGATGCTGTGATTAATTTTTAACATTGATCAAAAGTGACAGAAAGGACATCACAACATCAAATAAATGTATCACAATTTAAACAAATGGTAAAGAGCTAGTTCACCCAAACATCCATTGACAGCAGTTGTTTTTCGTGCTATTGAAGTCAATGGCTATAGGTATTCAGCTTTCCTCAAACTATCTTCTTTTGTGTTCAACAGAAGAGAGAAAATCAAACATGATTGTATTTTAGGGACAAAATTATTAGCCGCTTCAAGATACATTATTTTTTTCCGACTTTTTCTTGTCTACAGAACAAACCATCATTATACAATAACTTACCTAATTACCCTAACCTGCCTGCTTAACCTAATTAAGCCTTTAAATGTCACTTTAAGCTGTATAGAAGTGTCTTGAAAAATATCTAGTCAAATAGTATTTACTGTCATCATGGCAAAAATAAAATAAATCAGTTATTAGAAATGAGTTATTAAAACTATTAGGATTAGAAATGTGTTGAAAAAATCTGTCTGTTTAACAGAAATTGGGAAAAAAATAAACAGGGGGGCTAAAAATTCAGGGGGCTAATAATTCTGACTTCAGCTGTTTTTAAATATAACTATAACATTTTCTACTGTAAAGACTATTGTATAGGAGTAAAATATGACAACATCTAAATAATAAAAGTGTAATATAACCTTAATTTAAATGTTTATTTTCTCCATAAATTAAAATGTGTCCTTTTCTTTCTGAAAAATAATAATAATGACTGTCATACTTTTTTTTATTACGATTTCCAGAACACAATCAGCATAATGCAATTAGTTGTAACAAATATTTATCTAGCAAAACAATTCTTTCAGGCACATTTATAATAAAAAATCATTTGACATTTGTTGATATTAACTTTGTCTTTTGTGTGTGTAATTTGTGTAGTTGTTTGGTTGGCTGCAGTGTTACCCTTAGCATGGTCTTCACATACTCGGAGAACACAGCCCAGTAAAGTTTATCCCCTCCAAACGACCGGCGGATGAAAAAAGCTCCCGACATACGCAGCATCTCACCGACAAACTTCATGCTCATGAAATCTGAAAGAAACATCATGACATTGGCAAAAATCCAATCCAAATTGCAAACAAAATCCTGCTTTTTGTGTGCTTTCAGTTTAACTTTACACAGTCTGGAAATTTCTGGAAACAGCTTGCATTTATAAAGAGACAAAGGGGAGAAGAAAATTTTACTTTAAGTGGGAGAAACTGGGTTTGGTTGAAATCAGGCTGAAGTTCTGTGCATTGTGATTTTGAACCCGTTTTCATTTTTGATTCATGCTCATCTTATTTCCATACGACCGCATTGTTTCTTACTCTGCATTCAGCTTTAGGTTTTATGTTTTATAATAGTACACACTATAGTTTTTTGGTCTTTTATTTATGCTTATTATTTTTTCATACTTTTGGTGGAAATTCGATCTTATATTAGACGGCTCAATAAATAAGTAAATAAATAAATGAGTTAAAAAAGAATAAAGGGAAAAATGAATGGATAAATGAATAAATGAATAAATGAATAAAAAATAAATGAATGAATAATTGAATGTATAAATACATAAATAAATACATTTTTAAAAAGAATGAATAAAGGGAAAATGAAATAATGAATGGATAAATGAATGAATGAATAAATAAATCCTTTTATAAATAAATGAAATTAATGAATGAAAAAAATATTAATGTAAAAATAAATAAATGCATGAATAAATAAGTTAAATAATTAATGATTGAATAAACGAATAAATGAATGAATGAATGAGTTTAAAAAAATCAATGATTAAAGAAAAAAACAAATTAATAACTAAATAAATGTATAAACACATAAAATGAATTGATGAATAAATAAATAAATAAATGAATGTATGTATAAATCAATAAATAAATAAATAGATGAATGAATGAATGCATGAATAAAAGAATGAAAATTAAAGAATGAATAAATAAAAAAATGAATAATTAAAATAAAAAATAAATAAATGAATAAATAAATTAATTAATTAATACATCAAATGAATTGAATGAATAACTTTAAAAAATAAATGCATAAATGAATGAATGTGTAAATATATGAATAAATTAAAGGATGAATGAATGATAAAAATAATTGAATGAATTAATAAATTAATAAAATAAATGAGTGAATGGATAAATGAATAAATGCATGAATCAATTAATGTATGAATTAATGAATAAATTAATTAATTATTATTCAATTAATTTTTAAAAATGAATGATTAAAGAAAAAAATAAAAGAATGAACAAATGAATGAATAGATATATATATGAATGTATAAATACATTGAATGAATAAATGAATGAAATGCATGGATAAATAAATGAATCAATGTATAAATAAATGAATGAATGATTAAAATAAAAAATAAAAGAATGAATAAACAAATAAATTAATGTATAAATACATCAAATGAATTCATGAATAAACAAACGAAAAAACGAACTAACAAACAAAATAAATGCATGGATGAATAAATTAATCAATGTATAAATAAATAGATTACTGAATGAATGAATTAATAAATACATGAATAAATGAATGAATGAATGAATGAATGAATGAATGAATGAATGAATGAATGAATGAATGAATGAATGAATGGATGGATGAATGGATGGATGAATGAATGAACGAATGAACGAACGAACAAAGGGATTTATGGTGGGGGTTGCCATGTGTTTGTTAATTGCGTTTTCATGACAGCTACACTAAATATAGTATTCAGTGTGCTGCTGCAGAAGTGTGACCTCAAACAACCCTGAAAACACTGTTCAACATAAATTTGGAGGGTACAAACATTTTTAGCTGATAAATCTGTCCACACTCACCCATTCCAGCTGCGATCACCGGCAGGGGAAGGTCGTACGTGTACAGTATATATGACATCATCAGGAAGTCCATATAGCTGCGGTGGCTGGGCAGAAGAACCACCGGGTGTTCCTGTACAGCCTGCTGGAGCTGAGTAGGAAAACATTACATTCAACTTACATGGCATCTTCATGAAACCAAACAGCAGGAACATTAACTAAACTACTAAAGTCCAACTAAAGTTTAAAGGCCATAAGTAAATGTATTGACATTGCCTATAAGCTGGTCCATTATAATAAAGATCACACTGCGAATAGTTAACATTGAGCAGTTTCAGGGCAAAACGACAGAAATATATACAACTGACACACAACATGACTTAAATGGCACCTATTGAACCAATTTTTCAATATTAAAGTCTTTTGTGTCTCCAGAATGTGTCTGTCAAGTTTCAGCTCAAAACACCCATCAGATTCTTTATTAAACCTTTCAGAATATTAGATTTTCTGCTCTGAACACATTGGAGCTGTTCTTGTTGCCCGTGCCTTTAATGCTAGTTCTCTCCGTCCACCGTTCCCCCATGCCTGTTAGAGTGTGCCTCAATCTCCTTATCAGGATGCGTCAGATAAACAGCACAGTGACAGACAAGAAGAAAGAGGATCTCACGTAACGTTTATGAGAAATACTATAGTAAGAACTTTACCAGTGAGTTTTACTATTGTTACATTCCAGGACATCACATAATTATTTGTTCAATTACTTTATATATATATGTATGTGCTAACCACTGAGCCACCATGCCACCCCTTTCATGTCCATTAAAACAATATTTTTAAACAGACAAAATAATCAAATGAAAATCGTATCATTATAAATCATATTAATGAGTGCTCAAGAGAAACGGAGTTCCCTCAAACCATCTAACATTCTGTTTGAAGCAATAAGCCTGCATTTAATTAGGACACACGTTTTAGTACAGCAGTCCGCAGATGCCAGGTGTTTGAGCGGGATTTTCACACGTGTATTTTGGGAAGACCCTCACCCTCTGAATGCCCTCCTCATTGACACACACGCTGCGGAAGAGGCACTTGAAGGCTTTGCTGAGTGTAAAGGCGAAGAAGCGAATGGTGCTGAGCTGCAGACGGTGAGCCATTTCGTCCAGAATCAGCGACGCTTCTTCTGTAACGCACTCAGGGCTGTCTCCTGATTCGGATGAAACCTGCACACAGAGTTCAGTAAACGTTTAAACACCAAGGGCTTGATGGGAGTCAAAGAAAACAAAATTGTCACTTCTCGACTAACTGGCGCCAGATATCAACAGTAGGAGAAGCAGTAAGAGAAGCTGCGTGAAACTTTTCTTTATTTAATAAATTACTTGCACCTTAGTAGACAAATGCCGACACGCAATGAACACGCGATGGCGTTTGAAGGCGTCAGTCGTGAAGCACAGGCGCTCTTGACAGTTCTGGAGGTAATTAACAATATAATAACACTAACACTGAAAGGCTTAAGGCATTTTACAATAACCAAAACAACATTTCAGACGTTTTACAATATGTTCAGCCTGCTGGTTTGTCCGTTTACACCAAGCGGCAACCTCCCGCTCTCCCTCAGGAAGCCAATACAGAAGTAACTAAAACTGCAAATCATCCGAAATTCCGCTAGTCCTGGCCGCTCCTGGCTCCAAAACAGAGCAAATTTCAATTGAGCCCACAGTTAGAATGGCCAACTTTACAGCAGAAAAAAAGGTGTTTACAGCCTGGTACAAAAAAAGATTTTGGTTAACACAGCTAATATTACCCTTCATGACAACTGTGAGGGGGTGAATTTTTTTATAACTCATCCGTTTCCTTTATATTAGGCTATATTAAGTTTGCATAATTAAGGGCGTGGCCACTTGAGTGACAGCTAGGTCTCGTTGGTCGCCGTCACGTCACCTCAGCTGAATCCTGCAGATTAGCCACTGAACTCGGCATATTTATCGTATTTCTGTGTTGTTTTATGTGGCTTTACACAGTCAACTGCCTTTTGGACTTGTTTCCTACAATTATTAGATGGCATGGCATGCTGGGTGAACTTAATTGTGCTCACAAACCATTCACGTGGCCTCCGTTTCCCATGTGAGTAAAGTTATATACTTATAAACCATCTCTATACATGTATTTGTTTTATTTAAGATCATTTATCGTTTATATTTATATTTAGAGCTGTAATGCACTGCAGAATCTGACAGATTGATTAGCTGTAGGCTCTAGATCAGTCATCTGAAGCGTTGTCATACAGTGTTATGCTGGATTTCATCAATAGTCCTGCATTTACTAACACAGACTATATCTGAAGAGTTTGGAAGTAATTCGTGTTTTCCTCCTGTTGAAAAACGTCATAAGAACAATGTTTAGTGGCTCAATGTATTACAGCAGTGTTTTTAAAAGTCTAAACACTTTATTGATATAGTGTACAACAAAGCACAAGTGGTCAGAACACAAACGAGTCGCAGGTGATAAAGTATTAAGCGTTCTCCCAAAGTTATGTGTGTCTGAATCAGGTCCAAGCTAAATGCTAGCAGGTGTCTGTAGCTCTGCTCACTCTCCGCCTCTTTGCCCTTGTTTGGTATCCCGCCGTGGGTGTGATGACGTGTGACCAAAATGGCGACGGTTAGCCGTGCCTACTTGTGGCTTCTTTTGCGCTCTTCAGAAACCTTTGGGTGACGTCACGGATACTACATCCATATATTTTACAGTCTATGGTTCGCACACATTTTTATCATCACATGATCTCTTAAAATTACATGACCTTTTTTAATGCGCATACTGGAATTTGTTTGGTAAAAGTGTTTCCATCATAGTTTATGCGCATCTTTTCTTATCAAAAAAAAAGTTTATCCAACTCTGTTATGCGCATACAGTTTTAAAAATGCGCATAAAAATAGGTGGATGGAAACTTAGCTGATGAGAGAGCGTGCTGCGAGGAAATAGACAGTCGGCAGGTCTGTTTTTTCACAGCAAATGAGTCAGTGTACTGTTCTACTAACTGAATATCTCAGGATATAAGTATATTTCAAGTCAGAGAAGTGTATCTGTTGCGTTAATAAGTAATTACGTACTTACTGAAGACGCAAACCGTTTCACAACTCAGTTCAATTTAAGGAACTGGTTGGACCGGTTCACTCGTCATCGCAACAGACAGTCAGAAACAGAAACAATGGCAGGCCGAAGACTGTTGGGGCCGAAGAGCAAAAATTTTTGCTATGGATTCTTGTTATTTTGAACTCATCGAAGAAAAGAAGTGGATTGTTGTTAAGTGTAGATTATGTGCAAGTTAAACTCTTGACAACTGCAAGAACTACGACATCGAAAAAAAAAAACAGCTAGCGTAAACAACAAATGATTGACATCAGTTCACGTTCTCCAGGTAATACGACTTAACCAAAAAAATGGTAATTGCTTTTATTGTTGAGGAGGTGCAGCCGCTGTCTGCTGTAGAAGCGACTACGTTTTGTAATATAGTACGATTTTTTCTCTTTTGAGAAACGATTTACACATTTGTTAGGGCCAAGTGAGGCAATTTATTCAATGTATAAAGCTCAAAGACTTATTTTGATTTGATGATTTTTTTTAGGATCTAAAGCAGGGGTCACCAATCTCATTCCTGGAGGTCCGGTGCCCTGCAGGGTTTAGCTCCAACTTGCCTCAACACACCTGCCTGGGTGTTTCAAGTATACCTAGTAGGACCTTGTTTAGCTTGTTCAGATGTGTTTGATTAGGGTTGGAGCTAAAATCTGCAGGACACCGGCCCTCAAGGAACGAGTTTGGCGATTCCTGGTCTAAAGGGTCGTACACACCGGGATGCTTTTCGTTTGCAATTATCGTCTTTCGAGACGTTTTTCTAAATTTAACCTGAAGCGATTTTCACTGGCGTCGAGCAGAAGACTATGCAAAATCACTTCTTGACATTGGATGCCACTACACAACTTTAAGCTTCTGACACCCGCTTGTTGCACAGATGAAGAAGACCGGAAGTTGTCACGCTTAAACCTGCCAACATCCGCATCATAAAATCCGGGGGTGCGCGCGAAGTGAAGATCGGTGGGGGATTGGTGCGCGAAGTGATGAAGACGGGGGGCGGGGACTGCGCGTGAACTGAGGAGCGTGTAGCGGGTATGCAGATGGTTGCGCGTTGGGTTTGGTGCACATGGGGACTGAACCAAAAAACTAGCCGGACTGTACAAAAAAAACTTAGGAGGGGTGGAAGTCCGGGAGTTTTCCAGGAGACAGAACAATACGGGAGATGGGTCTGAAATACGGGAGTTTTGGCAGGTATGGTCAGGTTTGTTGTTAAAGTTACTGGTGAATCGAACAAGCATAGATGGTTCAAGTAGAAGCTCCAGCTCTAGCAATGAAGAAATGATTATTGTTCACCAGAGCAATAAGCAGCTCCACGTTCATATCGCCTCTGGGCATCTTCTTCAATGTGCGCTCGCATTGACGGTTTTGCGCTTGAGCGCCTCCAAGTGCTGTTTACTGTAACTTCAGCAGCTCTTATGGGAGGGAGCCCCGGGCTCGGGGATATTACAAGCTCAGGGCTCTCTCCCGGGACAGCATGCCAAATACGCTTTGATTATCAGCTAAATGTGAACTCTTGAAAACAGATAGAACTAATAAATGTTTACAACCAATTGAGTGTGAGTAATAAGGCAATTACATATTTTGGGGGTGAACGGTCTCTTCAAGGTGAGGTATGAAAGAGACCGTCTTGGCACTAAGGAAACTGTGCTGTGGCGTTTTCTGTTCTTCCTGTACCTGTTTGATGACATACTGCAGATGATCGGACTGCAGAACGATGGTTTTCAGCACACTGGCTTTGCAGGGCACCAGTCCTTTGTAGAGCGTTGGAGTGTAACATTTCAACGCGTATCTCAGATCACTGTAGCGCCGTCTCTCCTCCAGAATGTCCTCAAAATCGTCCCGCTTCTTCAGCATTGGATGCCTAGGCTGTATTAAAAACAGAAAACAAGGCTTTTTAAAATCAGACAAAGGAAAACATTTACATTAAATGACATTACTAAAAAATAAAATAACAAATAGTGATATTACATACACACTAAATAGGTTTATTGAAAAAAAAGGCAAATTCTATAGATTTTTTTTATTAATAAATGTTTAACGGCATATAAGGAAATATGATGGAATTGTGAATGTGTGAGAATTTTCAAAATTGCTCACATCATGCAGTACATTTACAATTACAATTTACAACTTACAATTTAGATTATGTGGAAATCAATGACTAATCCATTTGATGACTTTATTGTTATTATCAATAGTAATGATAATATGCTCATATATGAATGAGTATAATAGTAATGATTATATTCTCATTACTATTATTATTATTATTAATAATATCATAGAATGTGAAAGTAGCTTAAAAGGAAGTAAGAGGCGTGTCTGTATATGTACATAAAATATAATAACACAAACAAAATCTTAAATACACATTTGCACATACACTTTTACTTCAACAATTAATAATAGCCTACAGTGTCTCATATAAAGAATTGCATTAGTGCTAAGGCTCGAAACCAAATTAAATCACTTTTAAAAACACTTTTTTAAGTGGCTGATCATATTTTTTTTGGTTATTTAAAAAAGCTGACGTGCTCTGTGCATGCAGTTTGCTTGAGGAGAATATTAGAGGAATCTCTATGACAGCTTGACAGTGAAATGCTTCAAGCATGTGCTGCTGTTCCAGGAAACATGTAACGACACTAAAAAAAACTTACCGAATATAGAGCTCTAGACGCCATTTCGATTCCGTGCCTATCCAAGCATGAGTGTAACAATTCAGACGAGTTCTTGGTGAGAAAGTTTGGATCAAGGTTGGTCGTTCAGCCTGAACTCATTCCTGATATGAAAAGACAACAAGCAAGTGGAGCGTCGAAAGAGCCGAAACCCCAGTGACCTGGTGGGCGGGGTTAGATTGGTCAATATGTTCGTTTTATTATTCATTTTTACAAAACTTTAGGTACTATGAGGTGTTAATTATTACAACTACTAAAATGTAATATTTTTGTTACCCTATAGACTTCACTTGGGTGTATTTACAACAACAAAGAGCTACTACGTTCAGCCAATAAGAATCCCACTCTACATGTCAATCATTTTGTGGAGCTTGAGGTTGTTTCTGGTTGGCTGAGATGTCCGCGGAGGGCGGGCTTTGTGAATTCAGCGACGAGGTGCGTTTATCAAGAAAAACTGATTAAATACCTTATAAAACCAGTATTATTATTTATAGTAATGTCTAAAATTAAACCTGATATTGCTTAACGTTACGTTTACTAGAAATCGTTATCATTTTATGTAATATCTTTATTTACACATTCAGCACGCTTTTTAAAAGTCGAATATCACACATGGAAAATGTTAGATATATTTAAAACGTTATATATTTATCTACTGTACCTTAGTAAGACAAAACGTTTTGAATTCTGGGCCGCCATGCGCCACCTAAAGGTAAACTACTTTTAAACAGTCCTTGATTTACTTTCCCCCTTCTTTGTTTTCATAACATGGGCGGTGTCAAAAACTCAGATTGAGCTTCTTCCGGGACCAACAACGGATTGACGGAAAGCGAAAAAGGACAGTTCGCGTGCTTGAAGCACACACGTGAAACACACGTAAACAACCCTTCCGTTAAAACCGGTTTTGTTTGTCAAAATGAGCGTAACAAACGATAAACAGGACGGAAAAGTGGATGACGATCGTCTTTTCCTCGATCAAGTTTTAAACGAGTTGTATGATTTTGGTAAGAAGGCTTTAATATCAGACTTGCACACATGCATACTAACTCACATTCATTCAATTTCTTTTCGGCTTAAACCCTTTATTAATCCGGGGTCGCCACAGCGGAATGAACCGCCAACTTATCCAGCATATGTTGTACGCAGGGGATGCCCTTCCAGCTGCAACCCAATACTGGGAAACACACACTCTTGCATTTATTTGTAAGAAAAGTCACCGAAGAGTACCCATATATCCATTTACCTAAGTCACAATACACAGTGAATTACTGCATGCAGTGTGGTATACAATATATAATGGTACTCATAGTATGCAAAAAATATCACCAATAATAGTATAAGCCTAACACGTTATCTTCATTCATTCATTTTCCCTTTGGCTTAGTCCTTTTATTCATCAGAGGTCACCACAGCGGAATGAACCGCCTGCTTATCCAGCATATTTTTTTACGGATAGAGGTAAAGTTGGTTTTATATTCGCACATTCGTTCATTTAGGAGTCTCTATAATGTTTACCATGGTACTTTGAATATTCGATCGGAATTAGCATGCAAGTATGACTTGAAAACAACATTAACACTGTTTATTTGACTGTAAACAATGTTGTACTTTGATATTCATATGATTTCACTATTTAGAGTTTGCAAATAATACTTATATGAAATTATATTATTAAGGAGAAAGTCTGAATGTGCGAAAATAAAACCAACTTTACCTCTATGTTTTACGGATGACCTTCCAGCTGTAACCCAGTTCTGGGAAACATCCATACGCAATTATTCACAAATACACTACAGCCAATTTAGCTTCCTTACCTATACCGCATGTCTTTGGACTGTGGGGGAAACCGGAGCACCCGGAGGAAACCCACACCAACACAGGGAGAACATGCAAACTCCACATAGAAATGCCAACTGGCACTCGAACCAGTGACCTTCTTGCTATGAGGTGACAATGCCAACCACCGAGCCATCATGTCGCCCTACACGTTATCTTATTAAACATAGATGATTGAATCCAAATAAATAAATGTTATGAAAGTATTTGTATTGAATAACCCACTGTTTCGGAGATGAAGCTAAAGTAATGTTTCAGCTGAGATTTGGGTTAGAAAGATGGCAGCAGCATAATGTTATTTCTTTACAGAGGTCAGTCTAGTAAAGTTAGTAACATCAGCTGACTTCAGCAGTCTTTGTTGTGGTAAATCCCAATGTTGTCCTTTTAAAAATTGTTAAGAAGCTTTCTGCACTCGTATAACTCATGACAATAAAGCCATAGTTCACTTAAAAGTCTTCTTTCTTCTGTTGAACACAAAACAAGATATTCTGAAACATGTTAGAAACATGGGACAATAATGTAGTGCAAGTAAAGTAAAAGTATCTGTTGTAAATATTACTCAAATTATGAGTAACAAGTAGACCTTTCGAAAGTACTCAAGAGTTGTGAGCATTACTCTGTAAAGCTGATGCATTTACATGGAATTTGTGGATGTGTGTGTAAACGTAACATTCTGTAGTGCATTTAGTTATTGCCCAGCAGTCACACAACGTCATAACTAAGGCCAGACGGAATCTGCGGAAGTTTTTTGTTATTTCTGCGGAGAATTTTAGTAAAAATCTGCGTATTTCTTTGGAATTATTTTTGGGAGTATCTAGCGAAGTATCATAACTAAAACCTTAATATAATAAATAAAAAGTAATAAATTACTGATTAAAAACTGAATAAATTCAGATTTACACATTTACTCAAGTAAATAAACAGAATTAATAACGGGCTGAAAATCAGCAGAAATCTGCGTAATTCTGTGGAAAATCTGCAGAATTCTGCGCGCGCAGATTCCGTATGGGCCTAGTTGTAAGACATTAATATTAGGTTAGATTTAGGTTGTGAAGTCAGGTGACCGAAATTCAATGTCTTGCCAGCGTCTAAGGACAAATTTATTTTGACGTCCAGTAACGACGTCAAATGACGTTGATATTTGGTTGACTCTAGGTTGTGTTGGAAACTGACCAAAATCTAACATCGAGTCAATAACTTAAACCAACATCATACTGACGTCAAATACTGACATTTATTCATCAGGCATGGCAACCAAAATCCAACATCTGATAGACGTCATCCGCTTGTTTTTTTTTTTTTTTGATAATTATTTTTTCGGGCTTTTCACCTTTATTTTTGATAGGACAGTAGAGAGAATTGACAGGAAAGCATGGGGAGCAGAGAGAGGGGAAGGATCGGCATAGGGCCGCGAGGCGGAATCGAACCCGGGGTCGCCGCAAGCACTGGAGTGCATGTGTCGACGCACTAACCACTACACCACTGGCGCCGACGACGTAATCCGCTTGTTAAGTGTGACGTCACGTGGAGCGGCTTCCGGGTCCAATCGCTCTAATCAACTGAATGGGGACTCATGAAATGGTTATAATAAACGTTTACAAAGCGATTTAATACTTTCGAAAATCACAATCGCAATATATATGTCCATGCCTAATATCCAATGGCCAGAAAGTGATTCATTATTTTATAAATTGTTAAAATTTTGGTATTTGTTATGCAGCAAGCCCAGAGATTGTTGTGTACACTATGACTTTATGTAAAATTAACTTTAATGTGTAATAGGAATAAAAAGTGATCATAAACGAATGATTTCTCAACTCAAATGAATGTTGGCTTGGACCTGGAAACAGTATTACATACGTCAGAAACACACGGATAGTGGTAACGTCCCCACAAGTCAAGCTGTGAAATCATTAGACGTTGATATTTGGTTGGTTTTAGGTTGGACGTTGGCCTGACCTTGAGTTCTGACATCAACATGATTTCCAAACAAAATGCAACGTCTCCACAACACTGGGGTACGTCATGTTGAAGCCTTGTGCCTGCTGGGTGTTTAAGGCCATTTCAGCCATCATACAGAAAACATTCATCATCTTTTCATCAGTGACCTGCATCTAAACAGTCTCTGAGTCAATGAGTGTGAAGATTTTGGACGTCTTCTTAAACACTTTTAAAGCTTCTAAACAGTTTGCTGCTATTTTATATATATGTCTTGAGGTAGTTCATTATGATGTGATTTACCTTCTGTGTGTGATCTGATTGGACCAGAATCACAGGACTGATTTTGGTAATTCCCATAGACAAGAAAAAATAAAGTAGTAACTGCAGGTTGAAGGAAAGTAGTGGAGTAAAAGTACCAATATACTTAGGGAAGAGCAAAGTACACATTTATAAAACTACTTAGTAAATTACAATTTCTAAGGAAAACTACTCAATTACAGTAATTTGAGTATTTGTAATTAGTTACTTTACACCACTGCTTATTATATGCTTAAAATTTACTTACTGTTTACGTAACATTTACTTACTGTGTCTATGAAATGTATAAATACTGATTATCACTTTTGATATCATTTTTCATGTTTAGGTGATGGAGAAAACAAAAGATCAAAGAAATGTCTGAAAAGAAAGAAGAACTTATCTAAAGATGATAACGCTGGCACTGTGAACGAAGCTGAGGGAAACGCAGATACCGACTCAAACTCAGCTGGAACCAAACAATCCAAGGTGGAGGTTGTTACATTTGTTGATCCTTTAAAGAAGAACAAGTTATCACAGTCTGTTGAACCAAAGCAGAAGGTAAGAGGAACATTCTGCTCCAGAAGTACATTATTAATTGTATTTTATTGCTTTTTATTTGCTGCTTATCACAGTTTATGGATACTGTTGTTGGATGGACATCAGATTTCCTCTGGGTGGCGATGGTGCAGTTTTTGTATCTACCAGCAGGGGCTTACTAGTGTCATATCTTGATGTTCTCGATCAGGTCATGCCTAGCTTAAGTGCTTATGGAAGTTGGAAACCTTTGTGTTAAAATGTTGAATTAAGCAAATAAAACCATGCTTTGTTTATCTTCAGGTTCCTGATGTCAAAGAAAAAATGATGATGACAATGAAGAAAAAAGGCCTAGATGAGAAGCTAACCATAGAAAAGGTGAGATTGTTGATTCTTTTCCAAGCCGGCAGCTAGCTCTCTGCAACTCTCACATGGTCGCCCACTGAAGGGCTGCGCCCGGTCAGTAGCTGGATGGGAGACCACATTGGAAAAGCTGGGTTGCTGCCGGAAGTGGTGTTAGTGAGGCCAGCAGGGGGCGCTCAACCTGCAGTCTGTGTGAGTCCTAATGCCCCAGTATTGTGACGGGAACTCTGTACTGCTCAGTGAGCGCCGTCTTTCGGATGAGACGTTAAACCGAGGTCATGACTCTCTGTGGTTGTTAAAAATCCTTGGATGTCCTTCGAAAAAGAGCGGGGATTTTACCCCGGCATCCTGGCCAAATCTGCCCACTGGCCTCTGTCCATCATGGTCTCCTAATCCTCCCCATATCATAATTGGCTTCATCTCTGTCTCCTCTCCACCAATCAGCTGGTGTGTGGTGTGCGGTCTGGCGCAAAATGGCTGGTCGTCCAGGTGGATGCTGCACACTGGTGGTGAATGAGGAGATCCCCCATTATTATTATTATTATTATTAATGTTTGTTGAGCTGTTTGCTTAGTCAGCATTTTGAAGTCTACATAGAAGGTAAATGAACCCTATCTATTTTGTGTGAGAGGTGTTAAAGAAATAAACCATAATAAAACAAAGAAGTCATCGTTTACTCTCCCTTGTCACAGAGCTGTGTGCAGTGGTGGTTCCAGACCAGAGTGACTGAGGGGGCCCAGACAGGGGCCTCTTGTACTTTTAGGGGGCATGCTTTAGCATACATCACAAACTACTTAAACAATTATTCAAAGTCTTTTTTTTCATGCATCACCCTGCAGTCTTCATAAACAAGATAATCAAAGAACTTAAACTTAAAATAGTCTTCCGTGTTACTTTATTTGACAAGTAATTTTGTACTGTAGTAGAATAACACATCTTTAACATTCAAATACATCAAGGCACATTTTCGCACCTGTAGACTTTAACAGATGCAGTTGGAGTCAATATTTTTTGTCTTTCCATTTACTTAAAATAGTGTTTTTCAAGTGATCTTTAACAAACCAAACAAAAATTTTCACAGTATTTCCTATAAAACAAAAACAATTCCTCTGGAGTCATAATAAGTCTTATTGCTTATAGTTTATTTCTTGAATAAAAGCAGTTTTTAATTTAAAACAATTTTAACTATTTTAAGGTATTATTAGCCTCCTTAAGAAATATTTACTGTATATTTTTATTTGTATTTGCCTATTATATTTTTTGATTGTCTACACATTACACAACAAATCAGTAATACAATAACTTAGTTACCATAGTTAGGTCTTTAAATCTCATTCAAAGACTATTGAATACATAAAGGGACTTTGTCTGAATACAACTGTCTTGCAAAATAACTAGTCAAATATTATTCACTGACTGTCATCATGGGGAAGATGAAAAATAGTTATTAGAAACGAGTTAAACTATTATATTTAAAAAGTGTTGTATTAAATCATGTGTTGAAGACTCGTGCTTTATGTCACGACTGAAAACAAAAACGAACTAAACGAGCTGAATTTTACTTTTACATGTGCGTGACTGAAACCTACATTTGATCAATGTGTTACATCTGTTCTCCGGTACTTGCCGACTGTTTGTAAATTCATGACTGCATTTCCTAACGTAAAACTATGTACACTCAATTTCTGATTAGTAATAGCCTCTGCACAGCCGAGGACGTCCTATATTAAACGTTTTAAAATTAAAAATTGTAAAAAGTCTAATATAATCAACAGTGGACATTTTGGTAGAGTTTCATAACATAAACATGCAACGTAATCTCACGGCAATTCGTACCTTTTTGATTTAGTGGCTAATTCGTATGAATTCGTACAATCTAATTCGTACAATTTAGTATGATTTGCTCATCACTCAATGACGGATGGGGTTAGGGGTTAGGTTGGGTGCCACGCCTCCTTTTTAAAATCGTACTGACCTCGTATGAATTAGCCCCTAAACGGACACAATGTAAAATACTTGCGTTTCCTCGTTAGATCAGGCTGGAACATGACTGAAGTTGACTCTTTTATTTTACCTATGTCAATTTGGGGCTTAATTTCTGACGAATGTGGGAAACTGGTATGCGCAGCACCAACACTGAGATAGAAAGCGAGTACGCATGAAAGCAGAGAAAGTGAGTGCATGATAGCAAAAAGAGAGCCTGTGCGCCCGAGTGCAAGCGACACTGAGAGCACACGAGAGAGGCCTCAGTCATATCTCCGCAGTCTGCTACCGATAACTGATCTCGTTTCTCTGTGGCGTTTTTACATAAAAATACAAGTCCAAATTTAGGGGGGCCAGAGGGGTTGGCAAGCTTGTTGACACGGGGCCACCCCCTACTGTATGTGGCTATATAAATACACACTACATTACATATGTTTTTTGTAAAATGCTTGATTATTAAGAAACAGTTATTATTGTAAATTATGTATTAAATACTTGAGTACAAGTTTTGCTGTGAATTTCTTCACAGGCTCGGTTTGAAGTTCACAGGTTTGGACTGTCGGGTTATCAGAAGCAGCAGCAGAGGGTGTTTGAGGAGGAAAGAGCCATCATGCTGGGAGCCAGAGTGAGTTCAACCAAAGAAAAAATCACAATATTAATAACTACTGTATATTTCAATGACCGTAAAGTAACAGGTTGGTGAAGCATCAGGTTTGCATATTTGTGTAGAGTTCTGAGCACAATTTTAATAAAACTTCTTTATTTTTTTTCATCGTTCAAATGTGTATGGTTTTTATCCTCTTTTCTAAAGCCCCCTAAAAAGCAGTATGTTAACTACAAAGTGTACCAACAACAGCTAAAAGAACGGAAGATGAAAGAGAAAGAGGAAGCGAAACCTGTAAGTCCAACTTTTAAACTTGCTGCTTGTGATCTGATTGCTTTTGAATTAATTTTCAATTGATTAACTTTCTTTCCATGGCTCTTTCCTCAGGAGTTACAAAAGAAAAGAAGGAAGGAAGGAAAACCAAGGTGTGTGTGTTCATGTTCCCTTAGTGACATTAATGCAATGTCACTGATTAGCCCGATTAACACAAATATATTTACTGAAATGTAAAGGTAAAAAAGGTTTTAAAATGTCAATAGTGTATTTATTACACCCTAAATTAACTTTCAAACTTAGTCCACTTTTTTTTCACCTTCACAAAATGAATTCCAGTAAAATTACTGAATTTGGTTAACAAACTTTCATTGAGCTCTGGTAGATCTGTCTGCATCTCTACAGTCTGGACAGAAGCTTGTTATTGTTGGTATTGTGGCTAAATTAGTTCCTTTTTGTCCTCCCAGGACTGAGAAAAGTAAACCCTCGTCTAGCAGAGAGCTTGGCGGACAAGTCGGACGCTTCAAAAATGGAATGCTGGTCTTGAGCTCCAAAGAAATTCAGAAATTTAACTCCAAAGGGAAAAAGTAGCCATGGATGAATGAAAAACCACAGAAGGACACTGAAAATTTGAGGTTGAAATGTGGAACTTCATTACAGTTGTTATATCGATCAAATGTTTTCTGTCCCTCAGAATATCTTCCGTCTCTCAAAATATCTTGCTGTTTAGGTGTGCTTATTTTTCTGTTTTTCAAATTTAGTTAGTTTATTGGATGAGGGAAACTACTACAAATACAATTCTTAGTTAGTTCTCATTAACAAGTGAGGAGGGAAGACAATAGGGCATCAGTGTGATTGTGCTTTTTCAGCACTTCTGGTTTTAAAGTATTCTTCACATAGAAATCGTAAAGTTTTGGGAAACATCCATACACTCTTATTCACTTTCACACACTACGGACATTTCAGCCTACCCAATTCACCTGTACAGCATGTTTTTGGGAAACTGGAGCACCTGGAGGAAACCCACACGAACATGGGGAGAACATACAATCACATGTAAACATGTTATTGATGGACATGTTTGACCATTACGCTTGTGTGTCGTCTTTTGAAGATGTGTTTTTTTTTTAGATGACGTGCCAAGTTGAAAGATCTTCCACTTTCACGCGCAGCTCATCACTGTCAGGTCTAAAAGAAGTGAACCAATCAGATCAGAGGCGGGGCAAAAAGCTGGGTAACACTTTATAATAACTACACATATTAAATCATTTATTAAGCATTAGCAAGTAGTGAATTCATTATCCGTTAAGCATTAACTCTACATTAATAAACATTAGTAAGCAGTTTATAACTGCAGCTACAAATGCTCTATTCTTGACATACAAGCATATTTAAAATGTGCTTAATAATTGTACTTTCATACTTAGTTAACAATTTATTTTTCATTACTAAATTAAGTATCGCATTAGTTACAAACCATTTGTATTTAAGAGTAGTTGAGGGATTTTAGGATCATTCAGAATGAGTTAGTAAATGATTAATAAACTATTGAAATCAACGTTTATATGTCTTATTATTCAGGCATATATTAATGGTTACTATGCATGTTAATAAATGCTTTATTAACTCAACTTCATCTAGTTTTGTGACCTAATCTAAAGTGAGGACTATTCATGCTTTATAAATCCTTTATAAATGACAAATAAATTCTAAACAGGTAAAATGACATTATTCATTCCTATTCATTTAAAGATACACAACTGAAACTGTACTTCAAATGAAAAATAAATCTTTGCAACCTAATCTTAAATAAAAATAACTGTAGAGTTTAAACATTGCATGTTATTATATTGTTAAATTATTATATTGTTGTTGTTGTTTTATCCAGTTGGATGTCGTATTTTGACACTCAAGTTATTCAGCAATGTTTAACCTTTACAGTAATTTTACTTTTTAGATATGATTGCAAAGATTATTCATTTAATTCTGAGCCTTTAATTGTCATTTATAAGGGATTTATAAAGCATGAATTGTCCTCACTTTAGATTAGGTCACAAAACTGCATGAAGTTTTGTTAATAAAGCATTTATTAACATATTAGTTAACTATTAGTATATGCCTGAATAATAAGATATACAAATGTTGATTTCAATAGTTTATTAATCATTTACTAACTCATTCTGAATGATCCTGAAAACCCTCAACTACTCTTAAATACAACTGGTTTGTAAATAATGCAATACTTAATTTAGTAATGAAAAAATAATCATTTACTAAGTATGAAAATACAATTATTAACCACATTATATAGGTGCTTATAAGTCAAGAATAGAGCATTTGTAGCTGCACACTGACGTTTATTAATGTAGAGTTAATGCTTAACAGATAATGAATTCACTATTTGCTAATGCTTAATAAATGATTTATAGTGTGTAGTTATTATAAAGTGCTACCGAAAGTTGACATGACAAGTGTTTTATTTACTGTTATTTTGTCAGAGAAGGCGCTCGTTGCGGCTTTGTCCGGAATATCCTGAGGTATATAATATATCCTCATGTGCTTATCATAACATATGACTCCGTGTCCACCGAAGGTTTTTTTTTTCCTCGAGCTGAGCATTTGTTTTCTGTTGTTGTCAATGGTAGCACCATGTTTTTGGAGCGTCTGCAGCGTAGTGAAACAGTTGACATTTGGATGCTGTAGTCCCGCCCATCCTCCACTTTGATAGGACGGCTAGCTCAAAAGTGACACTGATGGGCATTAGGGCCCTATCATACACCCGGCGCAGTGTGGCGCAAGGCGTGACGCAATAGTCTTTTGGTAGTTTCAGCTTGGCGCAAGAGTCGTTTTGAGTCGTTGTTTAAATAGCGAATGCATTAGCGCTCATTTGTGCGCCCATAGGTGTTCTGGTCTAAAAAGGAAGGCGTTCTGAGGCAGACCGCTGGCGCGTTGCTATTTTGAGAAACTATAATAGATTTTTCATTAGACCAAAACAAACCCGGTCTAAACTCCAGCACAGAGTTGCGCCTCGCTTACACACTGCTTAATACACACAAGAGAGCAATAGGCAAATATCTTTACATATAAAAAAATGAAAATATTAAGGATATATATAGGATATAATAAGAATAGATATAGGATATAAATATAAAGGATTAAAATATTAAAAAACATATTATTTTCTAGCCTACATAAATATGAAAAATCACTGCTTTTATGTCTTCTTCATCTCGGGAGGCTTTTTCAGTTCATTCATAACAATTTGCTTTTGTATAATGTTATTATTATCAGCAGTATTATTTATTATATCCATATTTATATTTGTTTTATTAAAAACAAGCTTAGATTTGCCCACATGTCAGGTTTTAGATCTTATGGGGCACAGCATGTGTTTTAGGATATAATTCAGGTTTTTGAGCACATTTTGTTATTATTGTTCATTTATTCGTTTGCTGGAAATTAGAACTGAATTTACAAATAGTTTTAAACGAATATTTGCGCTTAACAAACGATAGTATTTATTTATAGACTAAATGATGTCTGTGCGTAAAGGTTTCCCTATCCAAGAGCGAAAGTGAAAGTGATCCATTATCTCTCATTCTCACGCAGTAGATGCTCTGTTTAACAGTTTTCTGTTAAAAAAACTGTTAACTGTTTGCTTGTGAAATGCTCAGTGTTTCCACTTAGACTTACTTTGCGTCCTGTAAATAGTGAATGCGCTCTTGGCGCGACACAGCTGACTCTTAAAGGTAATGGAAGATGAGACTGTAATTGGTTTATTCTCAAAACACACCTATAACTCATTAAGAAAATAAACTCAACACTTTTAGACCATGCGCCGCGGCGCAAAGCGGATTTACCGTCCTTAAATTAGCAAAAACGCGTCCTGACACGCCCTGAAAGCATTTGCGCCCTGCGTTTTGCGCTCTGCGCATGGACCGTCAAAATAGAGCCCTTAGTGTGAATGTGCTTTTTCAGCACTGCTGGCTTACAAGTCGGTTCATTCTGCTGTGGCGACTCCAGACTTTCGACAAAGCCGAAAAGAAAATGAATGAAAATTCTCAGACATTAGATCTGTCATTACATTTTTATTGTTTATTAAAAGGGAAAGACACAGTTTTTTCTTCTTCTACACTAAGTAGTAAGAAAAGCATGTCATATACAATGTATTTTTTTTTGATATACAAACCACAAAGACGTACAAAATATCACATTAAGAGGAAATGAGAGCTTAAGATCACATACAGAAGAGCACCGAAAACACACACACACACACACATTAGCAGATGATGAAGATGATGTTCGTGCGTGTGAAGATATGTGGAAAGCTGCTGTTTCCTTTTTATCTCTTCACACAGAGAGAAGCTGATGTCCAAACACCGGACTACCGTACATCCACATAGCTAATATGATGGATATATAAAAATAAATCCTTAGATGCTTGGTGAAATGACTGATTTTCAGAGGACAGAACCGATGGTCATTCTCACAAGCAGTCGACCACGTTACAAACACCTCAAGACCTTTTCATTTTGTGCGTTTTCAAAACAATCATTGAAAAAAAGTGGGATTCCTCTAGTTTAAATGCTAGATTTTTTTATTAAGCTGTGCTTTTGATGGGTGTTTCTTCAACTGTGGCCACTTACGTCTCATGGATTTTTATTTAAATGATCTCATTACATCCATACTTTTTCATGGCTTCATTTATTTTTGGGGGGCTTTTTTGGTACTTTTATATACAGGGGTTGGACAATGAAACCGCAACGGCTTGTTTTAGACCACAATAGTTCCATTAGTATGGTGTAGGACAGTGGTCACCAAACTTGTTCCTGGAGTGCCGGTGTCCTGGAGATTTTAGCTCCAACCCTAATCAAACACACTGAACAAGCTAATCAAGGTCTTACTTGGTATACCTGAAACATCCAGGCAGGTGTGTTGAGGCAAGTTGGAGCTAAACCCTGCAAGGACACCGGCCCTCCAGGACCAAGATTGGTGACCCCTGGTGTAGGACCTCTGTTTGTGGCCATCGGTTTGTCTTGGGAATGACGGATACACGTCATGCGCAGTGGCCAAAGGGATTATGAGCCATTCTTCTTGCAGAATAGTGGCCAGGTCACTATGTGATGCTGTGGAAAATCTTGGGCTGTGGACAATGTAAAACATGTATTGTTCTCTGATGATGAGTTCACCTTTACTGTCTTCCCACATCCAGGAGAGTTATGGTGTGGAAAAGCCCCAAAGAACTGTTGCTACCCCAGAGTAAAGCATGGGGGACGATCAGTGATGGTTTGGGCTGTAATATCATGGCCTTCCCAATACTTGTGCCAGATGGGCGTGTCACTTGCAAGCACTATAGAACCATTTTGGAAGACCATGTGCACCCAATAGTTTAAACATTGTACGCCATGTATCAGGATGATAATGCACCAGTACACAAAGTAAGACTGGTGACAAAAGGATTTAATGAACATGAAAGTGAAGTTGAACATCTCCCATGGCCTGCACAGTCACCAGAACTGAATATTATTGAGGCACTTTGGGGTGTTTTGGTGGAGCAATTCAGGAACAGTATCATGTAGTGACCCGGCCACTATTCTACAAGAAGAATGGCTCAAAATC